AAATGATGTTTGAGGAGATAAATGCTTAACCTGATTTATACATTGCTCAATGTACCCAAACATTACATGGTACACCATTAATATTTGTAATATTCATGTTTTGTATAAAAGTTACAAATAAATTTTATAAGGAGCATGTTGTTAGATCACATGGTTGGCATATGCTTGACTTTTAAGAAAATGCCAATCTATCTTCCAAAGTGACTGTACCATTTTTGCATTCTTACTGGTGATGAAGGAGAGTTCCTGGAGCTTCATCTCCTTGCCAGAATTTAAGATTGTCAGGGTTTCAAATGAAGCCCTTCTAATAGGTACACAGTGGTATCTTATCTACCGTGGTGTCTCATTGTGTTGATTTTTTTTTCTCCCGTGGTGCTGGGATTGAACCCTGGGCCTTGTGCATGTGAGACAAACTCTCTACCAGCTAAGCTATAGCCCCAGCCCCCACTGTGGTTTTAGTTTGCGGTTCCCTCATGACGCAGGATGTTGGGCTTCTTTTCATCTGCTCATTTGCTATGCATGCATTCTCTCTGGTGGGATGTCCATTTACATCTTTTCCCCATTTTTTTTCTATTTGTAATCGTGTTGTTTTATTCCTTACCATCAAATTTTAGAAGCTCTTGTATTATTCATATACAGAGTTGAAAGTATGCTTTGCAAATATTTTCTTTCAGTCTTTAGCTTGTAAGTTTTTAAATTTAAGTAAATTGAACATATTTGTTGTTTCTTTCATGGATTATGCATTTGCTATTCTAAGACTTGATCACCAAATCCAGGTCACCTGGATTTTCTAAACATTTCACAGTTTTTCTCCTCGTATTTAGGTCTAGGGTATGCTTAGAGTTAATTTTTGTGAAAACCATAAGCTCTGGGTCTAGATTCATTTTTTCACAGGTGGATGTTCAGTTATTCCAGCATTTTTTTCTTGGAAATACTATGCATGTCCACAGGCCTGCCAGAGTCGTGGAAGCAGCCCAAAGTGGAACATCATGGGTTTCAGTGAGGGATGATGGGAAGCTAAATCCCAGCCTCTGACCTCTTTTCCTTGGGAAACGTTCTCCTTAAAGCTGATTCCTCCCCCAGGGTTCCTCTGGGTCTGGAGTTGTCTCTAACTCTTCTCTGAAAGCTCAAGAGAGGCACATCAGAATTTCCCTGTCCTGTATCCACTTTATGACCTTCATTGTGTCCTATCTGTGTGACTTTAAGCAGGTTCCTAAACTTCCTATGAGCCTGTGAACTCATCCTTAACTTGGCGTCATCGAATTGCCTGACAGGCTGGTTTATAGGATTGAATGTGCCATGCATAGGGACGTTATGGGGGTGAAATGTGTGCTCCCAAAAGGTTCAAGTCCTAATCCTCAGGACCCCTGCTATGTGACCTTATTTAAGCATAGGGTCATGGAAGATGTGGTGAAGATGAGGTTACTCTGGAGTAGGGTGGGTTCCTAATCCATGTGACTGGTGTCCTTATAACAAGGTGGCCAGACAGGGAGAATGCTATGTGACAACAATGGCAGGGACAGCAGTCATGCAGCTAGAAGCCCAGGAACGTCAGATTTCCAGCAAGCCTAGAAGCTAGGAAGAGGCGCAGAAAAATTCCCTTTTGTGTTTCAAATGGCATGACCTGCCAACACCTGGATCTTGACCTGCTAGCTTTCAGAACTGTGAGACAATACATATCTGTGTTTGAAGCCACCCATTCTGTGTTATTTTGCCTTGGTAGCCCTGGGAAGTTAATACAAGGGGCTAAGCACAGGCTCTGGCACAACCTAGGCAGTTGTCACCATGGCAAGAACAGGTGTGTGTGTGTGTGTGTGTGTGTGTGTGTGTGTGTGTGTATTCATGCATGTATGTGGCTTTACTCTTGGAACTCTGGGCTTGTTGGAAAGATTGGTGGAAATAAAGGTACTCACAAAACATCACCCCCATCTCATCCATCTATCCCTACAACCATTTAGGGTTTTAAGCTCTCCAGAACTGGGCTATCTGTCAACCTGCACATCACTACTGTGAGGAAGGAGAGATGAGAAAGTGCCCCAAGAAGTTGGCAGCAAAGCCTGGCCCAGATCCAGGGGTCATGCTCCCACCTCAGTCTCAGCACAGCTGGGGAGTTGGCCGTTCCAGAGCCCCACAGCTGAAAGCATCCTGTTTGAACAAGTGAAAATGGCTGCTGGTGGCACCTCTGGAAATGCCTTGATGAACTCCTGGTTTGGGTTTTGGTTTTCTTACCAGGCATAAGTTTGAGGGTTATGAGAATTAGTACTTGTTCTTTTTCTCTCCTCTCCCCTCTTACAGGGTAAAGACCTACCCGCCACTCTGTCTTCCACCAGAGGTGTGTCTCATTGGCAGAACCCACAAATGGCACCAGCCTCTCATTCCTCTCCTCTTTCTCAATAGGAACATTTAGCTTGGAGGACAGACATTTGCTCCCACTGAGGTGCTTAGAATACATTTCCCAAAAATGTGTGTGGGGCAAGTTCTATGAAAATTGTGAGCACCAAGAGTTCCAAGCATCAATGATCCAAAGATTCTGAGGGGAATTTTCTGGGTAGTTGTCATTCCAAGGTTCTGAATTTTAGACACCACAGTTTTAGAATGTGACAATTTTGTCACTGCACAATTCTAAGATTCCCTGGGCTGGATTTGTGGCTCCATGGGAGAGCATTTCCCTAGCACATGTGAGGCCCTGTTCGATTCTCAGCACTGCATATAAATAAATAAAATAAAGGTCTATTGACAACTAAAAAAAATATTAAAAAAGATTTAAAAACAAAAGGATTCCCTGAGTCAAGGATTTTAGAAGCTGTTTAAGGGGACATGCAAATGAGAGGATGTGGCGTGATGCTGATGCCAGGTTGTTGACCAGCATGTTGGTAACAACAGAGGGGTGTGAGTCTTTGGGTCCATTTTCATTCCCACTCCAGTGAACAGGAAGAGACCATTTATAGAACCCAGGTTGTAAGACATAGATAACAGAAATCGAGAAACATGAAAATCACTTCCTGTTGGAAACTTGCAAAGTCCAAGGGAACAGATTTCTCTTTGGTGGATCTCAATCTTCATTTGTTAAAAGGAGGTGTGTGTGTGTGTGTGTGTGTGTGTGTGTGTGTGTGTGTAACATTTAAGAAATGTGGATATACTCTGGTTTCTCTTCAGATCGTATAAATCTTTCGCCTTTTTAAGAAATGTGGAGATCCTGATGTATACAAATGCTCAGATTATGTATACTGCTCAAGGATCCTCCTTGTTAGGAGACTTGCATTATCTCATCTGACAGCAGGAAGCAGGTGATTCTGAAAATGGGTCTTACAGCTGATCACTGACTCCTCAGAGCACCTCACCTATGGAAACCCATGGCAGAATATGTAATCATATCCTTGTGTTAGGGAACAGACACATGTGAATGAAGGGAACACGAGGTTGAGAGAATAATTCCACCAAATCGGCCTGTTGTGCTGACCCCCATGTGCTTTCTTTTCCAAAAAGAAATTTACCTGCATCCCTGCCTGCTAAAGTAAACAGGTTATGTTGCATTTCTCAGCAAACTCTCTGCTAACTGTAGGAGAAATGCAGGCCCAAAATATTGTTGACAAGAGGAATCCAAGTTACCCTTAAGGTGAAGACTTTTGTGACCAGATCCTGAAACTCTGGGGAATAAAGATAGTTCCTCCTAACCATAAAATCTGTAAGAATGTATGGCAGAGTCCAATTAGAAGTGATCGGCAGGGGCAAAGGTGACATAGAGTTGCCATGGCAGTGGGGACTTGAAAGTCTGATGTTATCTTGCTGTCAGTCAAATGTCAAGGGATGAATCTGGGCTGAACTCTCTAGAAACTTCTTTGGAATCCCCCAAAATACTGGAATGCAGAAGAGGCAAGTTGTCCCTCTCCTCTCTGAGAGGAGCCACTCTCTTCCTTGAGAGTGTCCCCTTTCCCTTTACCTGTCCCTTCAATAAACTCCTTCATGTTATACTCTGAGCAACATATCTGAAATCTTTCTGAATTGATCACAAGAATTGGGTTTGAAGGTGGGTTCTTCACAAGGCCTTGGTTTCTTGAAAGGCCCCGGCTCTGTAACATTTACACATCTGTGCATGAACACACACCTGCTCATGGCTGTACTCAAATCCAAAATTCTGGCCTTCCCTGAAAGAGTTCATCTCCCTCACACACCTCAATGAGAGGCCTGATTCTACTTCCCCAGATGGACTCTGAGTCCGACACACTGGCCTTCTCTGACAGACACACAGATGATGACCGCTGGTTTTCATGTTCTGCATAATTAGGCAGGAGTGTAGATAAATATGTTGTTTTATTCAGGGAAGTGATGATATTTTAAAATCTCCTCCAAAGTCTGGGCACAGATGTTGAAGCATTTGCTAGGCACTTCTGTTCTGTGTTCTGTGTTCACATAGTGACTTAAACTTTCTAAGCCTCAGCCGTGTCACCTTAAAAATGGGCATGAACACTGTTCCCTTTCACGTGGGCTTTTGAGTATTAAGCTGGGAGATCGTTAGATGCTTTTAGCACAGAGCTGACAAAGAATGCTTGCTCGAAATAATAGCTGTTATTATTATTATTATTATTATTATTATTATTATTACTATTACTATTACGACTGCGACTACCACCACCGCATAGTGTAAGGTTTCCCTGCTCTCAGGGCCCAATGTCCGGCAAAGGCAGTCTGTTGGTCTGTTCTGACTCTTCTCCCTCTTTTATCCAACTTGCCTCTTACTTCCACTCTCCCTTCCCCTTAACCCTGCCTCCCCCTTGGCTGGGCCCCAGCTCAGCGGGCCAGGAAGCTCATGGTGTAGGTCCTCGGGATGGTGGCAAAACCCACGTGTTTAGGAGACACGTCTATGTCCTGGGGCGCCTGTGGGGACTTGAGGCAGAAGTTCTGCAAGATGGTGGTGAGGAAGAGAAAGAGCTCCATTCTAGCCAGGCCTTCTCCAAAACAGTACCGCTTTCCTGAAGAGGAGAGGAGGGAGGGGCCGAGGTGAAGCCAGCTCTCTGCAGCCTCACCCCAGTACCAGATGCCTGCAGCGTTCTCCCAGGGAGTAGGGGCTGCAGCCCTGTGGCCCGAGAGACCTTCAGGAAGGGCTCTAATCCTCTCTGAGCCTCCATTTCCCTGGCACATGAGCTGGGGTGATCCATGCCAGCCTGTAGCACTGGGAAGTTTAAGTGCCCCTTACCCCCAAATACATTCTCAAATACGGCTGTATGCTGTCATCTTCTAAGAATCTGAAGATGTTGTTCTGTGTCCTTAAAAGGATTTCTGACTCTCTCTGATCCTTCATCATCACCATTTCTAAATGAGATTTGATCATCCCTTCCCTTTTCCTGGGTGCAGATATATAGGTCCTGGTTGTTACGG